GAATTCCAGACAATCCTAGGAGACCGAATCTGTAACACTGCAGAGGAAAGCTAATGCAAATAAACACAAGAAATGTAAGATGATGTACATGGGAAAGACGCAGCAACGGCTACATGGAACTGAGGGATTCCAAACCGACTGTACTCCTGAGCAACATCTTGGCATTATGATTTCACAGATACTTGAAATTAACTTAATAGCAGCCCGAAAAGCAAATCAAACATTACAAATCATTAAGAAAGAAAAGTAAACAAAACACGATTATGGCACTGTATAGCCCCAAAGCTCACCTACATGTTGAAAACTGTATACAGCCCTGATCCTCCCAACCTAAAAGGACATGTAGAACTGGGATAGATTCCTGGAGAGGGATGCTCATGGTCAGGAATGGCTTCCATACAAAGAATATCTGAGTAGGCAACCCTTCAAGCAGGTCAAAAGCCAACTTGAGAAAGACAGAGGCCTAAATAATCATGAGTGGCATAACGCAGGATCATTAACCATCTCTGCCACACAAGAGCTAAGAGCTGCCAAATGAAAGAAGCCAGCTGAGAACAAGCAGAAGGAGGGAGTTCTTTTACTCAGCCAGAAGCAGACCCACATTCAAACAGCACTCCTGGCCAAAGGCCATGGAGGCTGCAGACAGATCAGACAAGCATTTGGAACCAAAAGCCACAAAATGTTCTGAAATAAGGAAAGGCTGCATACAGCTCTGGCAACCCCAAGCTGAGAACAGCCAAAGGCTCAGAGGGCATCTATAGAGGAGGTTTACGAATAAGGCCATCCTGGTTTTATTTTAACTTGGGCATCTGCTTACACAGAGAGAAAAAAAAAAAAAAAAACAAAAAAAACGGTTGCAGAAGACAACAGATCAAAAAGGGAGCAGGCTGAAGGTGAAGGGTTAAAATAAAACAGGAAACTGAATCAGGACATCACACAGAGCATCCCAACAGCACCTTCTTCTCCTTAAAGCTCTGGGGAAAGCAGCAGTTAGTCTTCTTCCCAGACCCGTAATGAGACAAGAAAAGAGAAACAGGCACAGAAGTACTGGGATCCTGCCCATCAAGTCTGGAGCCCATCAGCCCGTGGAGCCGCGGCCAGCTCAGACAGGGGCGGGAAGGGGCTGGCAAGAAGATCCCATTCTTTCGCAGGGTGGCAGATAGGAAATCTATAAATCACAGAAACACCCACACAAGCTCAGGAAGAGGCTTTGGAGAAGCCAGAAGAGGAACCGCAGCCTCATGCATTAGATGTACATGTCTCAAGGTCTCCTTTTCCCTGAAAAAAGGGATATGAGTCACAATCAATGAAGCACATTATAAACACACCCATTTTCATCTCTCCTTGATTAATTTTCTCACATTTTATTTCAGCGGGTGATAGATTAGCCTAAAGTATAAGTCAGCCTGCAAGAGCTTCTCATCCCTCCCGACGACAAGAGACCACTTTCTGTCACAGGGCAAGGAAACCGTGCAGAAGAACTTGGAGGCATCTTCAAGGTGTTGCTTGGAGGTAAAACCAGCTACCACATGGCTTGTTCGAGTCCTGTGCGGTGTTCTGTGCTACGGAGATGAACCCTTGGTTTGGCCTGTCACAGCTGCTCTTTCATTTCTATACTTATTACATCTCCTAGAAGCAGTTAGGTACTGCTGACAGTCATCAGACCCATGATATTGCATCTGCAGCTGGTTGTATTCTATGTTGCACACACAGTATTTTTAGAACCAACTACAGACTTCCATACCAGTTCAACTACTGCAACCACCACGCTAGATAACTCTCAGCTGTTCTGGACGTAGCAAATGAGACAAACCCTATGCACAACTAGCTCAACAAGACTTGTTTTCAAATTTGCTTTAAACTTAATTTATTCCAGTCCTCCAGTCACAGAGTAGCTTGCAGCACTGGTCCCAGTTCACACCATCAGCCCCCGCAAAAACTCCTTTTGTGAGAACATTTATGAATTGCTTCAATAGAAAAAGAAAAGGTTTTCTGCAGTTCATTTTTTAACCTGAAGGATAATATGCTCAAACAGCTCACACACACACAATAACATATAGACTCCTTTTGCACAGTTTTGACTTAACAAAAAAGGAATTTCCACACAATTAGATGCAGCTGTAAGTCAACACTTATTATTTTGGAGGGGGAAAAAAACTAACTTACAAAACATTTCAGAAAGTGACCACTAAGCACATCACAAGTAGCAATACAAATTATAAAGCAAGCATTTTATTTTTATGTCAATTTTGAATGTCAGATTTTAAAAACAAGAAACACTAGTGCAGAAAAATCTATATTCAGTTAACTCAGACATACGGAAAAGCTTTTCCTGAGTCACCAAAAGCCTCATCTCCTACTGCCACTGCCAAGCACGCAATATAAACTTCCTCAATATAACCTAACGAGCCAGGTAAGGGGCTTGCTCCCACTTCCCCCATTTGAAGGTTGTTCTAGAACCTCACTCCATTTAGGGAAGAAACTCTAAATTCCAGCTTAAGTTTATTCATGCTGGTTTATATCTGTTTGTTCTTGTGCCAACATTGTTCTTTAGCTAAAATAGCTCCTCTCCCTTTCTAGTGTTTATATCCCTGCTGTATTTGCAGATTGCAATCATATCCCCTCTCAGGCCTCATTTGCTAGGCTAAACAAGCCAAGCTTTCCTTGCCTCCTCGGGAAAAATTAACATTTCTGTTCCGCAGCCCCTCTCTGCTCCTGTCCCACCTGCAGCATGGGTGAGAGGAGCTGTGCCTGGCACTGCCCAGGAGCTCGCACCCACCCCACCACCTCCCCGGCCAGCATCCTGGCCTAACACGCTCCACTGTCACCTTTACTTTCTCCGTGGCAGCTGGACAGCAGCAGCTTGGTTGGCGATGCACTAATGTACCCTCCAAACTGATGTACATCTCCCGCTCTGCTCTTCCCAGCAGTGGAGCTCCTTGCTCGCAGCAGGGAGCAAAGGCAAGACCTTGTTTCCTACAAGCATGGGAGGCACATATGGTATAGTTTGTTTTCAGCGTGGCTGATTTATTTAAGTGTGACTGCACATCCTAGGTCAGAGCTTTCAAAAAGCACGGCTCTGCTACCTGACAGATGTAATCAGTCGATTACTCACCATTACCTACCAACTCTACCAGGATTCATTCTAGTTTTTCACAGCCTCTGCTAAAAAATCCTTATAGTAGGCAATCTCAGGTACTCCGATTCCTCCTTAACTAGCTCCTGAAGTTACCGCTCTCTTCAGCTCTGACCCTGCAGCAGCCCTCTCTAGGCTCCTCAGGCATTTCCTAAGGAAGTCACCATCCCTCCTGACTGAGGGCACAGCAGAGTCCACCCAAGGCCCCACCAAAAATGACCAGTTTTGTAACTGGTTCCCAACTTGGCTGCAGAACTGAAAAACAAAAGAAATAAACCAGGTTTCGAAGTCATGCATCCCCTCTCCTAGGAAATTATTCCCACACTGTTGTAATCTACTGCTTAGAAGCCTCTTTCGCCAGGAAGGACACGTTCACTCATGCTGCTTCAGAGCCAAGAATCTTCTTCCTTGTTAAAACCAAGTGATGTACTTTTCATAAAACACAATAAAACTATTTTTGCTCCCAAAGAGTCCTCTCAAAACCTCAATTTCCCTTAAGTGGCCAAAAAAGCCAAAAATACAAGCCAAAAAGTATTCCACCAAACACTCACTGCTGTAAAGGAAGAACAAAAATATCCACACTCAGCATGGCTGTTCCAGGCAAGGAAGTTAATCAGCCAAGATTTTGTCCCAAGGTCACTGTAAGAGGATGTCTCTCCCTTTAAGTGCTAGGACATCTGCACACTTATTTTAACCAAATGCAATTTTGCAAGCAGCAAACAGTTTTAAACACAAGACAGACAACTCATTCAGGCTTCCAGAAAGTACTAGAGCATGAGACGGCAGGATGAAGACATGTCAGATCTAGAACAAACTGGAGGAACACACTGGCAATCCAGTGGACGCAGCAAGCCTGCAGCAGCTCAGCAGCAACCTGTACCTCGGCTCCTCGGGCAATACAGCAGATCTTCGGTGAAGCACTGAAACTTGCTGCAGATATCATTATCCTGCACAACTTACTGCAGATACCATTATCCGGTACGGCTACCACCAGCATCCACAATGCACAAAGCCTACCCATCCATCACCAGTCCTTGGGTTTAGTTATTCTGTGTTTAAAGCACAGAACTGCACTTATCTCCTCCCTAGTGAGCAGGAGCCCAGCCAAGACATATAAAACACTGCAAACAAGCAGGTAAGCAATGAAGTACAAATACGAACTATTACACTTTCTATTTTATTTCATCTGTCTAAATTCATTCTCCCTCTAGCCGCAACATGAAGTAGCTCTGTTGCTGTCGTGGGACCCAAGCAAATTCCCAAGAACTTCAAGAGGGATTAAACGGGATCCGTGTTTTGTTCCGAATACTGTATTTTTGCGTACTCCCCTTTGCAACCGTGCAATCCTCCAGTACGACTTAATCACAGAGCCGAACTCACAAAGCCCACTCTAATAATCACCTCCCAGGAAAAAATAAAATAAAAAGGCAGCTACTTCTACAGGCACTTTTGCCACTTTTCATGCCTTTTTTTTTTTTTTTTTTATCTTACACCACCACACCCCAGCAGAACAAGACCCGCCGCCGTTCCTGGTCGCCGCCGGCGGGCGGGAAGCCCCCGCTCCTCGCACCGAGCCTCCGGCCAAGCTCCCCGCAGCAGCGGCAGCGCCGCAGTCCTCGGAGCGGCGGGGGAGCCCCGGGGGAGCCCCTGGAGCGGGGCGGGGGGCCGGCGGCGGCACCTTGCAGCCACAGGCCGCCCCGCACGCCCGAGGCCGGGATGCGCCGGAGCCGCCCCCAGGCAAGGGCGGCGGGACTCTCCCCCGCCCGCCCGCCCGCACCGGCACCGGAGCGGCGGGCCCCGCCGGGGGACGCGCTGCGCTGCGCTGCCCTCCCCTCCTGCCCTCCCGGCCCGCCGCGGAGCGCACCTGCCTCCCGCGCCGCTCCGCGCCGCGCCGCGCCGCCCGCCCCGGGATGCGGCCAGCCTGCCGGAAACGCTTCCCAGCCCGCTGCGCTTACCCAGGAAACGATTCCGGCCGCCGGCCGCCGCCGCCGCCGCCGCCGCCCCTCCTCTCCCTCCGCCCCGGCCGCCGCCCAGAGCCGCGGGGGGCCGCGATGGCCGCGGCGCCGGGCCGTGTGCCCGCCGGCGGGCCGGGGCCCCCGCGGCAGCCGGGGGCTGTTAGTCAGAGCGGCTGGCCTTCCGTGCAGGGGCGAGGTTCATGCGTGGGGGGCAGCTGTAGCCCTGGGAGAATAAAAAAAAAAAAAATTAAAAATCATTGTTTGCTCCTTAGGGGGGGGAAAAAAAAAAAAAAAAAAAGCAGAGTCAGGCTTGTGCTTGGCAAATGTAATAATAGGCAGGTCAAGGTGAGGCAGTAGCAGTTACGCGCCTGAAATGCCACCTGATGTATCCCAGCACTCCTCCAGCAATGGCGAGAGCCAGAGAGGTGGATGGAAGCCCACCCAGGGGTTTGGGAGCCCACCTAGAAGAATGGGTTGTTTTTCACACTGGATATGGGCTCTGGTAGCAACGTGGGAGTGGGTTAAATCCCCCCCCCCAAGGCTGATGAACACCAGCGAACCTCTCTAGTCATGGACCAAGGGAGGGTGCGTGACACCAGCACAGCGCTCCAGGCAGCTGAGTTCTGGTGGGTCTCAAAAGTTACAGAGCCGGCACGGACAGAAAGAAATGGGGTATTCTCAAGTGTGGAAAACAAGCGAGTAAAAGGAAGTTTCCAGTCCCGGAAACTTCAGTGCTCTACCTGCTTGCAGTACAAGGGGGTAAGGTTGAGAGTAAATCCCTAGGCATATCTTGAGATGGATGATGAGTAGGAAAATCACAGCAACACCCCAGACAGTTAGTCGTGAGGCTTAAAGAAGACACCCATGGGAAGGTCTTTCTGTTTGAAGCCTTCTGGGTATGTGGGATTTTGTCTGTTCTGTCAAGATAGGCTTTTGAGATTACAGGGGAAGAAACTGCTCATTGCTAAAGCAAAAATTTGCTTTAGCAAATGGATGGTAGCTCAGTGGAAAGCATGTAACTGCTAACAGACCTTCTACTCCTACACCTTCTAACAATCTTAGAAATTCCCTGAAAGAGCTGATTCAAAACAATCAGCAGTAAAATACAGTGTTGTATTGAAGTGACCAAAGACATACAAGGAGGTCAAAGAAGACTATTACAATAATGAAATGACCAGTCTCCTCTTCAGTGAAAACACATTTAGCAATCCTATCGAAGTGCCCAAGACTACTTTAAAACTTCTCACAGCAGTTATAACGGCAAATCTATTTATCTGGAAGACATGATTTTTCCTATGCATTCCAGAACCTTCTTGAGTATTTTGTTCCCTGGCTTTACAACTCTGCTCCCGATAACAGTAGAATGCTCATGAACTGAGCACAATTAAAGGGATCAGTAAGATGAAGAGGAATATAGCATCTTTAATTAGAAATATTCATGGCTTTAGAAGATCATATTGACATCCACCAGTTCAAAGAACAGAAAAAAAAATAATTGCAATTATAAGCACTACAGTGAACAAGAAGAAGCAACAATTAGGCAAAGATGTAATAATTTTGAGAAAAGCACCTAAAAATTATACTTTAATATTTAACAATTTAAACGTATTGTTCTTGTTTGTAGTGGTACCCAATTTTTCCATTTGTCTTAAAATTGGTCGTTTAATCTTCTAATTTGTTTAAAAAGAGCAACACTTTTCTAAGCTAAAACTTACATTTTAACTTATATTTTAAGATCTGAAACTATGATGAAGCTTCAAAAAAAAGCCTCCAAATAGTTCTAATGATACGCAATAGAAATGTGTGATCACTATCATCTCCAGAAGGACAAGCAACCTCCTGAGACATCCAAAACTGAATTGTCAGAGTCCAGCATTTGCAAATCAAGGTGCTTCCCTCTTCAACAAAGCACATCATCCAGCAGGAGTGAAAGCTTTTACTCTTTGATGGCGTATGGGAGCAGAACTCTCCCTGGAATTTGCACTTTATCTATTGGAGAGATGCAAGACAACTATCAGATTACCCAAGAATATTAGTGAATAGCCTATTAATATATTTCTTTGACAGAAATGGCCAGGCAAGATACTCATAAATTCACGTTCCTTTGATGAGAAGTGTAAAAGCACTGCATTGTGGTTTTCGCTATGTGGTTAAAATTATGATTAACATTTAGTTACATAGTCTATATAATGCACTTTGGATTGCAGTGTAGCAAGCAGAGTCATAAAAGTGAAGCGTTGAGGAAACTAAATAAGGAATTTCATATACATCCTAATTGGACAGCCGCTCAATACACTCAGACTTCTCAGAAACATTTCCAGGTGGATGCACTGTTTGCACAGGCTCAGCCAGTCTCATCAAATATAGATCTCTTGGTTTAGAGCAATCCCTTGTGTTAACTTTCCAAGTCCAATGAAATAGCTCCTGCAATTGTGGCCTTCAGGCATTGGTACAGAGCACTTACTGCCTTTGTACTCGAGGCACAAACATCTCATCAAATAGTGCTTATAAACATGAGAAGGAAAAAAAAAAAAAAAAAAAAAAAAAAAAAAGGCGTTTCTATATTCTTTCTATATTATCAGCTCATACCGAAATCATTTCATCATCAGCTTGCTGTTTCTATGTGTGACCTATGACTGCAAATTTATTTTGGTCAAAGTCCATCTGACTTTGCTAGAAGGGATGACTGCCTGTAGGAGCCTCCGTTGGCAAGTAGCCCTCTGCTCCCAACCACAGGTCTGCAGACCCTGCTCCAGGACTGACTGTGCCCCACAGTGTTCTCTCAGGAGAAGGTCATAGTTTCTCCCCCTGCTTTCTTCTATATATCAGCTTTTTACTGAAGGGTCAGTCCGCATAGGGGGATATCTAAAGTACACAATGATCCCAGCTCTTGAGAAACTTGTTTCTTGCTGCAGAGGGAAGGAGCAAAGATGTGAATCTGAAGTAAGCAAGGCTACCATCTAGTGGTGCAACTGCACTTTAATATTTCAGAGGAACCAACACCATCAAATAACCTTTTGCTGTATATATTGATCCTAAACCCAAGCTTCACATAGAAATTTAATTAGGAAAACATAGAAATTTAATTAGGAAAATTCAGTTACGGCAGAATAGTAATTTTCTTTGGAACTGTTTCTCTAACATTCCCACACAGCTTGCTGTGGCATTAAGTCTCAATCAAATAATTTTCCAGAAAGAATGAAAAACACCATGAACACTGCACATGCAGCTAGAAGATTTACAAATTAGACTTGTAGCATGTAATTTTTCATTACAGGCTTGAACATGCTCAGAGGGTTCGGTCCTCTGGACGCATTGCTTCCCAGGACCTGTGATAAAGTATATATTGCTCCCGTTATTTTGAGTTCCTGTCTCATTAGTGCTCCCTGGTCAAGCATATAATGAAAGACTAATTCTGCCATGGAGGAACTTTCCTGTGTTACTTATGGAGAAGCAAAGACCCTGAGACATCAGTCTCAGGTAAGATTATTGCAGTAGTTTAATCAAGCCAGGAACTAAATCAAGGCCTCCCGTTGCACTCATGGAGCCCTCTCCTGTCCACTGCTTTAGCCAGCTCGGGCACATTACCACTACATTAACGAAGGCTGTATGGGAAGAAGTGCAATCCAGAGCAATTTGCAGGCCAGCAGTTCGCTGATTTCTTGACATGGCAGGCAAGGCAGAATGGTAATTTCAAAGTTTCTTTCTAGCTCTTCAGGAGTGCAAAGCCTTGCATGCAGGAATGATTGTAAAGTAACTTATAAATGATCTCTCAGGCATCTGACTAAATGTAATTCTCTGATCTCTGCTTTCCCTGCCTGTTATACAGCAGTATATTGAGATTTCCTATGGGTGAGGTGAAGGAAAGGTGGCCTGGTCTGGCCCCCAGGCACATAAACTCCTTGTTTACATGATGCACTTACCTAAACCCCCCCCTCATCCAGATAGGGGCACCCCCATTTTTATTAATCATTACAGGTAAGTTATGAGGGAGACAAGCAGGATGACTGTGTTAGCTTGCAAACAATCACAATATTTGAAATAAGAGAACTGACCACTGCAGGAAAACTGTCCATTTTGGACTTCTTTCTAGCTGGAGGGACCAGGCAAGGGCAAGCTGATGTTTGTAAGAAAAAGATGCTATTAATGCAGGGTTTCTAAGTGCCACAGCAGCTGTGTAGGCACTCTGCTAGAAGGGCGTAGGTGCTTTCAGAGCTGACCTTCCAGCAAACTCCATTTAATGTTTTACACGGCTCCGGTGGACAAAAGTACTCAAAAATTGCCACAGACAAGGCCTGTGATTATAGGTAGTAAAATAAAGAGAATAGCTCACACCTGCAAAGCTAATCTGTAGCTGGATTTTGTTGCCCTGGCTGCTTAAAATGGGAAGTATAGCCCTGTTTTCTGATGGGCACTGAAACGCAAGATCTCCAATATTTTCCTGCAACTGAAAAATAGGAATACAACAGAGATTTTGCAGTGCAGCTTGCCTTTGAGTCTACAGACTTTTGGAGAAGGCAGTTGTTCAAACAGCACAAAATAAAGCACGGCTTAAAAGTTTTAGGCCAACATCTCTCCACTGTTGGCAGTTGCTGTGTTTCAGCCCTGGTGCTCTCACACCTTGGAGCTTTCCCTTGATGTGCTGCACTGCCAGTTCTGGTTCCCACCAGGCAGCTGAGGATGGTGCAGCAGTACAGCTCCCTGTGAGGCAGTCAGGAAACTCAGGTCTCAGGCCAGAACGGCTAACCCACTCATATGCCTTACATGCATTTATAGACATTCACATCCACAAATACACATTAATTAAGAGGTGTGGAAAGCTAAGATAAAGTTGGAAATGCAAGGTTTACTAACAGCAGAAGGCCAGTGCTTTGTCTCTGAAACAAGAGAGACAAAAGTCCAATGTCTAATGTCCTAAATAGAGCTAGAAA